TACCAATTTATTGCCTCTTTGGAAGTTATTAATCTAGTCTTCTTTTTAAGATTTTATTTATTTATTTGACAGAGAGAAACAGCGAGAGAAGGAACACAAACAGGGGGAGTGGGAGAGGGAGAAGCAGGCTCCCCACTGAGCAGGGAGCCTGATGCGGGGCTCCATCCCAGGACCCTAGGATCATGACCTGAGCAGACGCTTAACGACTGAGCCACCCAGGCACCCCGACATAAAGAAGTTTTTCATTCCTATGTAAAAAAGAAAAAGAAGAACAATAAACAGAACTCTTTATTAAAAAAAAAAAAAAGAATTCAAGCTGCCTTCAGAAACCAGAAAAAACAAGAATGGTTTTTCCCCTAGAGCCTCCAGAGGGAGCCTTGTCCTGCTGACACCATGATTTTAGCCCAGAGATACTGACTTCAGATGTCTGGCCTCCAGAACTGTGAGGGAATCAATTTCTGTTGGTTTAAGCCACCGGGTTAGTAATTTATTACAGCAGCCACAGAAAACTGATCCACTGATGTTTTGTTGAAGACTTTTGTGTCTATATTCATATGGCATACTGGTCTGTAGTTTTCTTATGATATCTTGTCTGGTTTGGGGACCACATTAAGCCACACACCTGAACATGTGCCCATGAAGTTCATCTTCTGTTCTGTTGCTAGCCAAAGCCAGTCCTGTCACCCAGAATTAGATCACATTTCCTGTGGTCTACTAAAGGAAAGGTAACAAGTCTTCCCTCTTTCTTCTGCATCAATAGTTTTTCCTTTTCCAACTCCCCTTGTCACCATGCAAAGATGCTATTATTTCCCACCTCTTAATCTGAGAAATAAAAGCCTCTTTTGGCTCTGTTTAACCTTTCCACCACTCTCCCTTTCCTCTTTGTCCTTAGGCCAAATCTCTTTAGTTGCCTAGACTCACAATCTCCACCTCCCCTTCTCCCATTCCCTCTTTCCTCCAATCCAGTCAGGGGTTTGCCACCACCAAGCCAGTGGGCCTGCTGTCCTTAACATTACTAATGACGCCACATTGCTAAATAGAACAATGTCTCTGTTTATATGGCCATCAGAGCATTTGGTACAATTGACCACTTCTTCCTCCTCTGACACTTTTATTCATTTAGACTTCGGGCTTCCACACTGGTTTCCCTTCTCAATTTTAGCCATTCTATCTCTTTTGCTGTCTCCTTTTCATGTCCTGAACTCCTACATGGTAGAGGTCTTCCAGGCTCAGTCTTTGGACTTCTTTTCCACCAACTTTTCATTTTAACTGATCTCCTCTGGTCCCCCTAGTTCCTTCTCTTTTCTATCCACCATTACCTGCTATATGTCATCTAGTATTACTGCTTTGTATATTTCTGTATGATGATGACTCCAAAGTTATACTTATCTCCTAGACCTCTCCTGTGAACTTCAGGCCATATACTCAATAGCCCACTTTACATCTCTTGAATGTCTGATATGTGTTTCATACATGACATGTCAAAACAGAATGCCTAGTTTTGTCCCCTAAACTTGTTCTTTTGTAGTCTTTTGCATCTCAGTTAACAGCAGCTCCCTTCTGCTAAGGGTCAGACCAAACATCCTGCTGTCTGTCAGCAAATCCTGTTAGTTGTACTTTTGAGATATATTCAGATATTGAGCACTTTTCATCATCTTCAATGTATTTTTCCAGTGCCAGAAAATTACCTGATGCACAAAAGTCATGCAATAATGATTTGTTGAAAGAATGAATGAAATCAGTTATGTCATATCCCTGCTCTCTATAACTTCTTTGGCAAAGCTTGGCCCATAATACCTTTCTGTGCTGTAATCTGGTCCACTGTTCCTCTCTATTCTCATGGTTTGCCACTAACCAACAAGTATCATGTGCCCCAGTTATAGTGACCTACTTCAAGTGTCCCATTTATCCTGCTGTTTCATTCCTCTGTGCCTCCCACAATGCTGTTCCCTCGGCCTAGAACATTCTTACACTTTAAAGAGTATCTTCTTTCTTTTTTTTTTTTTTAAAGATTTTATTTATTTATTTGACAGAGAGACAGCAAGAGAGGGAACACGAGCAGGGGGAGTGGGAGAGGGAGAAGCAGGCTTCCCGCAGAGCAGGGAGCCCGACGTGGGGCTCGATCCCAGGACCCTGGGATCATGACCCGAGCCGAAGGCAGACGCTTAACGACTGAGCCACCCAGGTCCCCGAGAGTATTTTGAAGTTATCACAGCAAACAGAGATCTTATTCTCACCTAAATACTTCTCCCTGTACTGGCCTACCTCAGCACATGCACTTCCGTCACTACACAAACCACACTCCACAGAGTTTGCCTGTCTTCCCTTCAGAATTCTAAGCTCTGCATCTTGGTCATCTCTGTTTGGTATTCCTAGCGTGCACCACAGCACCTGGCTTATGGAATGCAATGAACGGGAACAAGTGAATGAATGAAAGGACTCTACTGTGCATTGAGTGTGTTCATATACAGAAGCATAAAACAAGAGTTAATATGAAAATATATTCTTTCACTATAAATACGAACGAATTATTATTTGGCAGTAACACTTCACACTCATCTCTAAAGGAAGGATGAATCTGAATATTTGCTTTGAGGGTGGTTTATTTTTATTCCTCCAAACTAATCCAAAGACAAGCTAACATTTGTTTTTTCCTGGCACAATCATTCTTTCTCTTTAAAAAAGAAAAAAGTTATTGTGATAAGAACACTTAACAGGAGGTGTATTGTCTTAAAATTTTAAGTGTGTGATACATTATTATTGACTATAGGTACAATGTTGTACAGCGGATCCCTAGAGTTTACTCAGCTTGCTTAACTGAAACTTTATGCCCATTGATTACACAGAAGAAAAATACATTAAATAAGCATATTCTGATTTTACTGTAAGAATATTTATCAAAATTCCATGTGCCATATTTGGAACTAGATGAATTATTTTCCACTTTACTACCATCCTCTCTCTCTCTCTCTCTCTCTGTCTCCCTCTCTGTCCAGATTGAAATCAGCCAGTTCTCAAGCTGAAACAAAATTGTACTGTAACAATACAAAGAATACAAAATGCTTTATTATAATAGGATTGCAACTATAAACAAAAGTATGTGTGGGCAGAGACTGGAAAAGTAATATGAAATGCAACTCACTGACATTTACTGGACACATACTCTGACCCACACATTGTTCTAGATGCGATTACAAAGAAGGAACAGTCCCTCTCCTGGAGCAGTCCACGATCTCACAGCATTTACGCAAATCACTATTGATAAGTTACATTGGTGGCATTTGTTCTGTCCCCAGCTTGAAGGACACCCGTGTGCCACTGGAGTCAATCTACCGAGGTGTTGCTGGCCCAGTAGGCTTTATGGGTCTCTAGGGAATTACTGTGGAGAATGGCAACTGTATTATTAGTGGGAACTAAGGTTGTTACTGAGGTAGAGAGGAAAAAAGAGTTTTGGTGTGTAAGAAGCAGATGTCCTTCTCACGTGGTTACCAAAAAAAAAATCAGTGTTGGTGTCTCTGAAGCACAATAACAGCAAGCGTTCTATTCAAAGAGCCAGTGAGGGGGTGGGGGGCACAAACTGACCATTTGGCCTAGAGCTCTGGAATGGTTCTTGGAGCATATCTCCCATCTCCAGGTCTGCACTGATATCTGTGTACAGCTGTCCTTTCCCATATCTGTCAGCGCAGCACCTTCTCCCGGAACCAGTCCCAGCAAGGGTTGGTCCATCAGCTACCTCACAGGCAAAGGGATGTGAAGGGCCCCCAAAAGGGCCAAAACCTGAGAAGCATAAAGGCCTTTTTACCCTCCTTGAAAAGAAACAGCAATGCCACATCCCATACCTTCTGGGTGTGTTAGTCTCTACCAGACAAGGAGCCTCTCTATTTCTAGATACAGGCTTGCAAAAGTGGTGAAAGACAAAATACGTGTTACATCAGAGACACTTTCCCAAAAATCTATAAAAAAGAGATTGTGTGTGCATGTGTATACATGCCTTTGAGCTTCTTGGTGGATCAAGAGGTTTAAATGATACCATCAGGGCTCTTTCTCTCTTCTCCCTGCATGTCTTGGCACAGCTTTTTTTCAGTCTCCCAGCCCATTTCAGAACAGCAAAGGTCTCATCCCCCCTCCCTCATCCTGCCCTGAGGAGTCAGATTTATAGTGCTCTTAGTACCCAAAAACTCAGCAAGAGAAAGATCCTTTCTTCCCCAGAGTCTCTGGGAAGGATTCCAATGGGCTCTGCTTGGTCACATGCCTGTCCCTAGACCACAGCTCTGTTCAGGAAGATGAGACACTATATCCACCAGCTTGGGTCACACACCCACCTCTGCAATGCAGAGGATGTGAGTGAAAGCTCCCCCAGATGATAGAGGTAACAATTTCTAAAAGGAAGAGATTTATAGCAAATAAAACAAAATAACAAGAACAACAACAAAAAAATAAGAATAGGTGATTACTACACTGTAAGGGAATAGTCAAGGTTGACTTCCAAGTTTTCGATGCTAGATGTTCGGTAATCTTGATAGAAAAGGCAGATGTAGGAGCAGTTTGAGCCCATATGGAGAGTTGAGTTTTTTTAATGTTGAGTGGAAGGTGCCTGTAGGACATTTGAATGAGGTAACCTCTTGGGAATAAAGAGTCAGGAACATAGCAGAAAAATATACAATTATAATTTTAAATATAAGATTGATTCGTGTTAGGGTGCATTTGAGTGTGCAGTGGGAAACCCACTACATTTCTTAAGTGGAGAAGTTCTTTACCAAAAAATCTATAATCTACGTTGCCTAGTTTAGAAATCTCCGTATAATATCAACCCCCTCCCCCCAGAAGCTGCACTTCTTTCCAGTTAACCCTGGACTCTCACCGCTTGACGTGGGTTTGGGGTCGCTCTGCCAGAGCCTACTTGGCCTACTGGACCCAGGCGAGAGGGCCGCGGACTACACTTCCCGGCGTGCCTCGTTGAGGGGCGGACCGTAGAGGAGGCGGAGCCAGGGCCAGGAACAGCCACCCCCGCGAGTGGTCGGGCGGGGAGATCGGGCGGCGCCGAGCTGAGGTGGCGAGAGAAGAGCTCCCGGATGTGGAGAAGCTGGGGAGAAGGCGTGGGAGGAAGATGGACTCGGTGGAGAAGGGGGCCGCCACCTCCGTCTCCAACCCGCGGGGGCGGCCCTCCCGGGGCCGACCGCCGAAGCTGCAGCGCAACTCCCGTGGAGGCCAGGGCCGAGGTGTGGAGAAGCCCCCGCACCTGGCGGCGCTAATTCTGGCCCGGGGCGGCAGCAAGGGCATCCCCCTGAAGAACATTAAGCACCTGGCGGGGGTCCCGCTTATTGGCTGGGTCCTGCGTGCGGCCCTGGACTCGGGGGTCTTCCAGAGGTGCGCATGTGCGAGAGTGGGCGGTGCGGCCTGGGTGGGGGTCGGAACCGGGAGCCGGGCCGCTGGAAGGGCTGGGGCTTCCAGGGCAGTTGCTCTTGGGAGGGGTGTGCAAGATCCGGGGTGTCTGGGTCCCGGTTGAGAGCGCGGGGAGGAAGTGCTCCAGCTTCTTCCTTGTTCCGTAGCTGTTAATAGTCTTGACCTGGGACAGTTTCTGTCCCTGCCCTTGAGAATGCCATCCGTAAAAGGGGAGCTTTCCCCCTTTTCAGCCGTCTCTGCCGCCCGGGTTGACCTCACAGGATAAAGTAAAGGAGGCCACCCCCTGTGAAATGTCTGTGGCAATATGTGAACTCTTGTAGACAGAGGCCAATTAGGGCTCCCCTGTTGCTTAGCCTGTGATAACCACTTGGTGCCGATCGATTAGGGGAGGCATCAGGTTCATGAATGGAGTGAGGTGTCAAGGCTTTCTAGTTTCAAGCTCAGCTTGGAGATCCCTTTCTGACCTTTGAAAAATACTCCAAGCTATCTGCCTGTGAGTCAGCACAATCTAGAAAACTACCTACCTTTGTACATAGGTAAGAGATAGTGAGGAAACGTACAGCGGGCTGTTTTATGATATGCTTATAAATGGTTTTATTATATCTTTGGAACCTCGTCTGCCCTAAAGACAGTTTTAATTGTGCATCATTCAGAGACATTGCCATATGCCATTTTGGGCAGGGGTGACAAGCTGATGTCATTCATTAAAGAAGAGAGAGAGAATTTAGTGCCGGGAATGAGTTTACACATAGTAACTTCACCCTAATTATGCTTGAATTTGTTACTGTGGAAAGTAAATTATTTTAACTTTTTGATGTTTGGGTTTTGGTTCTTAAAGAGATGATTGTTTTGGAGCATATTAATTGCCCACATTAATATATGGGTTTATGATTTTCATTTAACTAGTCTTGTTTAAAGAAAGACACTCCAAAAGTACGAATTTACTAATTTTCTTAAGGTTTTAATCCAAAGGAAGCCCTGGGTGGAGCGAGTTAAATAGGGGTGGGCACCCAGAAGATAACACTAATGTAGCAATGTAATAGGAAGTGTGCAAAGGAGAGATAGGGAAAGCCTTGGGAATTTGGTTCAGTTCAGTAAACATTTACTGGCCCTAATTTCTGCCATACACATCCAAGGAAACATCAAGATGAAATGACATGGTTCTTGTCCTTTTGGGGCTTACAAACTTTTGGACATTTTTTCACCTTTACAAAGAGTGCACACTGGGGAGGGGGCAGGGAAGACTGGAAGAAGGTGCATCCAGGCAGCAGTGATATGCCATTTTTGTGAAATGAAGTAGAGATCAAAAATCACTTTCACAGTAAATTAAGAACAAAACTCATTTACAACTCTTTGTTTGGTTGCATGTCAGGAAATCCCTTTCAGCCTGGCTTAACAAAGAAGGGTAAGGCTTGTTCAGATACAATGAGATTCAGAGGCTAAAATGATTCATTCATTCAGCAAATATTTATTGACCATCTACTATGTGACTGGCACTGTACTGTGTCCTTAATCAGAGGTGATAGCAGTAGCAAGTCAGTCCCTAGTCTCTTGGAGCTAGGGACTGGCAATATACAAACAGTGTATACTCTATTTGGTGGTGATAAATATTTTCAAGAAAAATAAAGCAGGGTAAGGGAATGGTGCCCTCTGTCACCAGAATCCTCCATTTCTTGGTTCTTCTAGATAGGCTTTCCCTTTATGGTGTCAGGTGATTGTGCTGAGAACTGCAAAACTCTCAGCACATAACGACTTGTCCAAACTCTAGTATGGTTTCCAGCAGCGTAAGGCCATGCTTCTAGGATGATCCTAGCCCCCCTTAAAATGGCTGCGAAAGGTCAGTGCTGCCAGGAGAATTTACTGTTTGTTTTAGGGACCACCTGGTGACATGCAGATCGCCTCTAAACCCCCTCTCAGAACAACTATTTTTGAAAGCTTATAATTATGAACCCCTTCTCCATCCTTTGGAATGTAAATATACCACCCAAAACTGTCTCTTTGAAATGCAAACATCCTAGTAGATAACTCTCATTCCTTCCCAGTCCCTGTGGGAGAATTAAAGGCCTAAATTCGATGGGCACCTTGCTTCAACTTGCACCTTGCCACCCATCATAAAGTTAGAAGTGTGTTTCTCCTCCGGATAAGCACCAGTTAACAAACCCAGACGGCCTAGTCACATGGACTAACCCTCTCTATCACCCTCTCAGTACCTTTTCCTTTAACATACTCTAGTCTTTAAGAAGTCTCCAGCCTTTGTTTTGGGGAATTTGAGTTCAGCCTACTGCCATAGTTAACAAATCAAAGCTGCTCTTTCTGCTTTGGTATCCAGCTTGGTTTACCCCTTTATTTTACTCCTTCCAGGTTTAAGTGTAACCAAAAGAGTCTCTTTGGGTCCCCAGTGCTTGTATTGGTACAGTTTAGCTGCCTCTTCCGCTCTTGGATGGTGATGGAACACCCCCTGAAGCACCGTATGACAGTTCCATCAAGAGAAAAATTGGAATATGATTACCAAATGGGAGTTGATGCTGAGAGTCAAAACCCAACAAATAGCCTTATTGCAGACATAGGAGATTTTGCTACGAAATGATTGGAAAATATATGTTATATATTAAGCAGTGATTTTCCTGCTTCCATTTATTAAAATGCATTTGTACAAAATCCATGAACGGATAAATGATTCCTGAGAACGTTTTCTGTACCAGTTTTATTTAATACATCTAGACTAGAGTATAAGCATCTTGACAGTTGGAATGATATTTTATACTTCAAGCCATCTATGGTATCTGTTCCTATACTAATAATAGTAATTGGAAGAAATAAAACCAGTATTTTCCTTACCAGCAAAATGAGCATAATCGGTCTGACTCTGCCTTCTCAAACTTAGAATATTGTGTAATGAAGTGATTTTCCTCTGTTTAGTTTGCATAGCTGTTTGCTATGTGGCATCCTTTTTAAGGATCTGGAAAGTTCGACTAAAAAGGTAATAAAAGGGACTAGCACCACTTCCTCGGTGAAGTTTTTGCTGATCCCCTCTGTGACAAGTAACTGTGCCTTTGTTTTCCGCACAGAGCAGCAGTGTTCAGACCTTCTTTTAGTGCATGCACTGTGTAGCGAGGTAAGGTCACAGACCCTGGAGTCAAACTGTGGATCTGAATTTCTAGCTTCACCACATGTTAACTGCAACTTTGGGTAAATCACTTAACGTCTGTGCCTCAGTTTTCTCATCTGCAGAATGGACTTAAATATCCACCTCATAGGCTTGCTGAGGAGATTAAGTGAGGTAGTATATATACAGCCCTTAGAGTGTGTCTGCCATATAGCATGTGATCTCTCCTTGACATTCTCCCCTCATATTGAAGGTTTTTTACAATCTTCATCTCTTCCATGGGCCACAGTTTCCTTACTTGTAAAATGGGAAAGTTGTAATTATCTGCAGAATTCTTCCTAATGCTAACATGCTTTGACCTTGAAGAGTTAATGGAATTGTGTCTTTACTCTCTGTTTCCGGGGTCCACCAACTTTTCTGTAAAGGGCCAAATACTAGATATTTTAGACTTTGCAAGCCAAATGGTCTCTGTTGCTTAGCTCTGTTGTATGTTGTGAAAGTAGCCATAACAATACATAAGTGAATGAGCATAGCTGTATTCCATTAAAAGTTTATTTATGAAGACAGGCAGGCTGTGAGCCAGATATAGCCTGGGATGACCCTTGCTCTACTGGGTTGAAGAGGTTCTTGTGAGCAGGTACTCTTACTTATCTTGGTATGCTTAATGTATTGGAACCTGAATTAAAATGTGTTGATTTGGATTTAATTGATTTATTCTGAAGCTACAGTCCATGTTTGGAGCAACTTTGCTGCCCCTCATCTTCCTACTTTCTTTCTTTGATAAATATTTACCCTACAAAGGAACTGAAGAAAATTGCGCTGCCTGATTGTGTGTTTCAGGGCTAGAAGATGCTTTGGAGATTATTTTGTTCAAAACCATGATTTATTCGTTGAGACCGATTTTTCTGGCCTGCTCAGAGTCAAAGCTAACAATACTTCCAAGGTTGCTAACTTTGCATACTACTTTGGATAGTTAGCAGTTGAGAAAAATGCTAAGACAATTTTTTTCATTTAGTAAAAAGTTATTGTTAGAGGTGAGTTTGTAAGAGCTTGATTGCAAAGGTGGTTCAGTGCTGTTTGTAAACCTCAGAACAAATTGATTTTGTAAATGTTGCCTAACACACTTGTGGAGAAAAAAAAAAAACACGGACTTCAGTTTCATTTGTAGGGTGTGGATTTGTGATTAATGATAAGCCTATGCTGTGTTATCCTTAAAATGGCACTTTATGATTTGAAATAATATTCACAGGCATCAGGGTTGATATTCCTGTTCGTCCTGTTAGATGGAATATGACTTCATTTGAGGCTAAAGCCATTAGCATTAGGCTTTGACATTTACTCTGTACTTGATTTTACATTTTATTAGGCCTGTTTATTCACTTGCTCATTCTTTCTTTTTGCCCGCCCTCTTCTCATTCCTCTAAGCCAAAGGAAACCATCTGCTTACATAGCCCCTTTAATAAATGATGTTCATTGTATTTTAAGTCTACATATGGGATGCTATTTTCATACATATAAATTAGACATTTGGACCTTTGAAGTTCTGAAAGCAGCAGTTTTCCTTCCAACAGAGTCTGTGAGGATTAAATGAGACCATGTATGTGTTCCTTTATTACCATTCCTATTTTATTATTTTGAATCGCTAACATGTATTAAATGTTTATTGTGTGTTGTGGTTTGTATTTAATCCTTATAACAATGGTATGAGGTAATTACTATTATTATCACCTGTATTTTTTTTTTTTAAATCACATGCACTTTACTAAAAATTGAGGCCTAGGGAGATGATGGATCTTGCCTAAGGTCATATATAGCTAACATGTGATGGAGCTAGGATTTGAACCCATTCCTTCAGATCCCATGCTGTTAACCATTTAATGTTTCATTTATTAACACATATAGATTGAGCATGTTATGTAGCAGGCACTATAAAAATACTTTGTAAAAATAAAGCATTGTAGAGAAGTTAGGCATTGCTTCCTTACCTCTCTTTCCTTGATGGTTTAGAGTATTATAGTACTATGTTGACCTCTGTCTCTACCAATAGGCTAAGAACTGAAAGTTTCTCAAGAAAATGGACTCCATATCTCCAGTGTCCAAAGTAGGACCTGAAACATAATAGGCACTCAGTAAACATTTCATGAATGAAGAAATGAATGAATGATAAAAGGGAGGAAAGAAGAAAAGCAAACCTCTTCCAAAAGCTCTGTTATTTTTTATCTACCTTTTAAGCATTTCAAATATATCACCGAATCCTGTGGTATTGAATTTTCATTACAGAAAATCAGGATAATAAAGTAAACGACATCAGTAATTTATTTCAATTAGTGACATAAATTAGATGTCAAAAGACCATTTCTTTTGCTTTTACAGTTCACTTTTTACTGTATTTACCATCTTACCATCCTGCCTTCACCTTCTCATTTTTAAAACTAGGTTTTCATTGGTACTTCACTTTGTTATGTACCTTTGACTATGACATTTCTCCAGTAGAAAATCTGCCCCCAAATAGTTCAGATTTCAAGATGGGGGAAAATAGGGGCTTCTGTGTTCTGCCTTGCCCAGAGTGACGGTAAATGTGAGACATCTGAGCCCTAGCCAATGGCTCATCTTGTTTACTAAGCTTTAAAAAAAAAAAAAAAAAATTTAGGGGGATTACTGACTAGATTTAAATCCTCCTTCTGCAAATATTAAAGGGAAGAACGGAAATTAATAAGTAAAATCTGGAGATGTTAGAAATTTTTTTGGTATTCAGTAAACTTCTGTCTCCAAAAAAAAAAATGTTTCTTTAGTTTCTCACTTTCTTTTCACTCTTGGCAACTGAGCATAGACATCTGAAACATGCAGTTCCTCTTACCCCCAGTAGATGTTGAATGAAGACGATAAAAAAAAAAAAATGCATATGCCAAAGAGTGTAAGTCATTAAACTGTCTTTGTGTAATATCACTAATAAAACATTGTGGCTAGAGGAATAGTCACATCTTTTGTTTCTAGCAAGGGGAACTTGTAAAGGTCCAGGAAACTTAACTTCAATAGAGACTAGTGCACTTCCCCAAAGTAGCATTTTACTCATAGTCATCATCTTAGAAGGTCTAAATGGTGAACCATGTAAGATGTGGTGAAAGGTGCAGTCAAGTTAAACTTCCCAGAGTCCATCAAGTCATGTTCTCCATGTCTGTAATTGTTGTCAATGGCTATACCTCCATCAATTCTGTGTTCGTATATTTATAATATACCCATTATTGGCAAACAAGAGAGTTGGATTAGCTGATTATTTTGAGTCCAGATCTAGGCATTTCGTTGCTTCTAAGCTTGAAATTCTGTCAGCTTCATGGTCTAATACAAATCCATTTTTTTCTTAGCAAGTATATTAAAATTCTTCACACAGTAATTTGGATTTGAATGGGGAATAAGAAGCAGGATCTTCTTTATATCCTTTAGATTTGAACTTCTAGCACTACTATTTTACTTAATATACCAGTAGCCTTAAAAATACCAAGTGTCATTTTTTCTAATTTTATAAAACTATATCTAGGGCTACATAAATAATATTATATAAATAATGTAAGACATAAGACAATACAAATACAAGTATTTTTATATGTAAACAAATACTATATCTGATGCTGTATTTTTATTCAGACACACTATAGTTTATATACAAATACAATTCTTTAAATTTATATTACATTAGATCTGTAATTTTTTTTGATGGTATAAAAACTATCCTAACATCAGTAAGTTGTATTTTGGGGTTGCAGAGCTCCTTTTTATCTTTACTGGTTTCTTTGAATGATTTGGCTTGTTATATTTATTTCTTAATATCTATACAGTGTATGGGTTTCAACAGACCATGATGAAATTGAGAATGTGGCCAAACAATTTGGTGCCCAAGTTCACCGAAGAAGTTCTGAAGTTTCAAAAGACAGCTCTACCTCACTAGATGCCATCATAGAATTTCTTAATTATCACAATGGTATGCATTTGATAGTTTATTCAAAATTTTATGTAATTTCCAACTTATTATTTCATAAGACTTGTTTTCACATTTGAATTTAAGATCTTTGTATTCCTTGCAAAGAACTTTGATGTCCTTTTCATTTGTTTTGTTTTTTTAAGAGGTTGACATTGTAGGAAATATTCAAGCAACTTCTCCATGTTTACATCCAACTGACCTTCAAAAAGTTGCAGAAATGATTCGAGAGGAAGGATATGATTCTGTTTTCTCTGTTGTGCGACGCCATCAGTTTCGATGGAGTGAAATTCAGAAAGGAGGTAATCTGTTATATATCAGTCTTGATTTTAGCTTTTATGGAGAATCAGCTTTTTCATATGTAAATATTCTTTAAGAATGAAGGGAGCAATACGTGATTATTAACTGTAGTAGGTAATGACATTAAAATCAGTTCTAAGTCTTGTGATTATTTAGACAGGACAGACCAAATTCCCTGCTTTATTTTTTACAGATGGACATTTTAACATTCTGTTTGCCTTCTGAGGCAGGCATGTCATTTTTCTAGATGTGAAATATTTTATGTTTGTTCCAGACTTGCTTGGTAAACTCCATATAAATCATATTAGGATCATGGGGATAGAAGTCTACCAAAAAGTTCTGGAGGACCTCAAGGATGAATTGTGGAATTGCTTCCCAAAATATGTAACTCTGATGTAAGAAGACTTCCACAGTATTTAGCAGGAGCCTGATTTCTAGCTAGCTAAACTAGTAAAATATTGAATAAAGAATAGGATGACCCGTGTTGAATGGAGCACTGGGTGTTATACGCAAACAATGAATCATGGAACACTACATCAAAAACTAGGATGTACTATATGGTGACTAACATAACGTGATAAAATAAAATTAAAAAAAAAAGAATAGGATGACCAACAAATAGGTAAATGTAACATACGTAAGGAAAGGCAGTTTGATTTCTGTTAGGTGCTCTGACACTTGTTGAATAATAGGGCAGCTGGCTTAGTTGTCTCTAACAAATGTGTGATTTAAAGGAGACAGTAAGGAAGATGCAATGAAACTGGAGACAGCGCAAAAAAGAGCAAGTAAGGATAAAGAAGGGCTGAAAATAAGATTCTTCAATCTCAAAATATGAATGTTACACAAACCAATGAAATATATCAGTAAATACACTTACAGATTGATTTCATTCAGTCAATATTTATTGTCTTCTCTGTGCCAGGTTCTGTGTTAAGCTATGTATTTTAACTTTGAACTTAATTACCAAGTCTCAGAAATTCTGATTTCTGAGGAAATAGTTTCTAGGAAGGCTCTATTAAAGCTTAAAAAACAAATTTTTGAAGCAAATCAAGGAAGCCCAGTGTTAAACTGAATATTGACTATATGATTAAAGTTCAAGAAGCTCAAAAAATATGTTAAATAGATGACAAAGCCATAAAAATTAGATCCATAAGGAATTTTAAGAAAATTAGAAATGTTTGAATAAATATCTTTTAATATCGAGAAGTGAACGTTAGAGACAAGAGCTTTGTCTTGTCGTATATTTTCTTAGAACCACTATGAAACAAAATGCTATTGATGAACAATGGCTCTAACCCAGAGTGGTATTTCTTGTGAGTCTATTCTTATGTCCCTGTTTATAAAATCACTAAAAGTGCTACTGGATTAATCAGTACTTGAAAAATTATTCCATTTTATATTGTATAACTTTTTGTTTTTTTTTGTCGCCACACTAGAACCTTACCATCTAATATAGTAGCCTCTAGCACTGTTAGCACTCGACATGTAGTTAGTCCAAATTGAGATATGCATTAAGTGTAAAATACATATTGGATTTCTAAGATTAGTATGAAAGAAGTATATGCAATATCTCATTAATAATTCTTACATTTATTACATGTTAAAAAAACATTTTAGATACATAGGGCTAAATAAAATCTATTATTACAATTAATTTCACTTCCTTTTACTTTCTTAAAGCTGTAGCCATTAGAAAATTTAAAATTATATATGCGGCTCACATTATATTTCTATTCGACAGCACTGCTCTAGAGATTACACTTTGCACCTTAGTTTGTTATAGTCTACCTGAATTTGTATTTTCACAAATAATTAAGAAGCTAACAATAGTAAATTTCTATTTAGCCCCTGCCTTTTGTACTGTTATTGTCACGTAATCTATTTCTGTATATATTATGACCCAAGATACATTGTTGTTCTATTTATTTTAAACAGTTAATGGTACTTTAAGTTATTTTAAAATAGTCATTTATCTTCACCTGCATGTTTACCTTTTTTTGTTAGTCTTCATTTCTTACCACTTACATGTGCTTCTGTCTTACAGCGTACATCTATTAGTAACAGCTCCTCTCAGCTTTTGTCCATCTAAAAATGTCTATAATTCACCCTTATTTTTAAAGGGCATTTTCATTGAATATAAAATTTTGGTTTGCCTTTTCTTTCTTTCAGCATTTTAAGATTGCATCTTTAAGATGTTACTCTTTTGAAGATCCATCATTAACATGTCATTTCATTATTTTCTGCCATCCATTGTTTCTTAAAAGAAATCAGCTTATTATTCTGATCATTGTTTCTCTAAATATAATGCCTTTTTTCCCTCAGGCTGCTTTTAAGATTTTTCCCTTTATCTTAATTTTTCATAGTTGACTCCAATTTGTATTGCTGTGGGGTTTTTGTGTTTATCCTATTTAGAATTCTCTGAACTTCTCATATCTCTAGGTTGATATCTGTCATTAGTTTGCAAAAAATCTGTGCCATTATCTCCAAATATTTCTTCTGCCACATTTTCTCTCTCCTCTCTTTCTGGGACTCAGATTTAAGTGTATCTTAAACAATTTTATGGAGTCCACATGTCTCTCACAGTCTGTTCTGTATTGTTTGTTGATTTTTCTCTCTCTGCTTCATGTTGAGTAATTTCTGTTGACACATTTGAGTTCATTGATCATTTCTTCTGACTTGTCCAGTGCACTATAAATGCTGTCCAGTGAATTATTTCAGATATATGTGTTTTCCATTCTGGAATGTGTATTGTAGCTATTTTTAGAGATTCTGTTCTCTGTTGAAATTCTCCGTCTTTTTAAATCTTTTCCTATAATATCTTTAATATATTTATGATAGTTATTTGAAAATCCTCGATTGTGGGTTCTGACATCTGGGTCATTTATAGTTCTGTTTCTACAACTGTTTTTCTCTAGTTATGGGTAATGTATTTCTGCTTCTTCATAATGACTCGTATTTTGTCACATTCCTGACATAGAGATTGGAGTACAGTTGACCCTTGAACAACACGGGTTTGAGCTGTATGGGTCCACTCATACACAGTGTTTTTCAATAAATACAGCACAGTACTGTAAATGTATTTTCTCATCCTTATGATTTTCTTAACAGCACTTTCTTTTCGCTAGCTTATTTTATTGCAACAACACAATACATGTAATATACAAAATATGTGTTAATTGACTATGTTATTGGTAAGGCTTCTGGTCAACAGTAAGCTCTTTGTAGTTAAGCTTTGGGGGAATCAAAAGTTATATGTAGATTTTTGACCATGTGGGGGGTTGGCACCCCAGCCCCTGCATTGTTCAAGGGTCTGTATATATTCTTTTCCTCCAGGGAGGTCATACTCCTTCTTCTCTCAGAAACATAGGATATGGAGCCAGTCACTTTGATCCAGTTAGGAGTTGTGCTGGGTTTGAGCTTTAGTTTCACTTTACCTCTTAGTGCAGGTGTCTTGCCAGGAGATGGATCTTGTATGTATTGCTGATAACCCCAGGCTAACAAGACTTTGGGATTTAAGCACCAGAAAACTATAATGATCTCTCCCTGCCTTCCAGCCCATCCCTAGCTTCTTGTGCCACAGCACACTCAGCAAACGTCCTGCAGGGGAATAATTGGGTGGCAAGAACTAGCTCTGTGTTTGGGCTCTTATAGAAGCCAATCTGTGATTCTAGTCCACAGGGCCATTACAAACTCTTCTGGTTTCTCTTTACCCCAGCAGAGTCCCTCTGCTTATGCCAGGTTTGATCCTTCTTTCCCTTCTTCCTCAGATGCAGCAAATATCCCCAGAGAGAAGCAGCCACTGATCCTTGTTCACTTAGGAAAGACTTGCCCCTCTCATTCCTTTTCTTCCTTCAAAGTACCACTTGAATGAGTTTGTTTATTGCCTATCTCCACCACTAGATTGCACACTACACGAAAGTAGAGAGTCGTATTCACTGCTATGTATCCCGTGCCTGTAAAACTATACCATATGTAGCTATTCAATGTACATTTGCTGAGTATTTTTCCTGGATTATATCAAACACTGATGGACTAGGACTGAAAAGAGGATGGTTTAGTTAGGGAAGTAAACAGAAGTTATTTCTAGAAGCCATTACTCACATAAGTGACAGCTAAAAGTAGAATCAAAAAGATTCTGAACAATCACCAACTTTAAACACACACACATATACACACACAGAATCATGCATGCATGTCAGTATACATCCATAAAGACAGTTTTGGGAAAAAAACAGTGAAAAGGCAAGAGGATCCCTATTTACCAGTACTGAGGGCGTTTGTTACATCATGTTATAATCACTAACATTGATGTTGCTGAGCCTTCATTACCAAGAATAGTAATAAGTAAATATTATTTATTATTATGCTTAGTATATTTTTAAATTATTGGTAAGAATATGTAATATACAAACATTTTTATCAATATAAAAGTCTCAATAATTTAATGAGGAAATCTTCAGTTTTCTGTACTAATTCTATGAAAGTAATTTCTCAACCACATTGTATAAACACATACATTGTATTTCTATAGTAGCAAATAATGAGAAATATATTAAAATATTCAAATAAGGATATTTTATGACAAGGTCAGTCCTTTTGAAGCTGCCTTAAGGTTGCCTTGATGTCCTTCCAGAACCTTGTATTTTTAAAAATGCCTTAAAACTTCAATTATTCAGAATTCCTCTGTAAAATACTTTATTTTTCTATGATTAGATAATAATTATTAAACAATAAATATTAAAGATAAATCAGCATCATTAGAGATTTTGTTCCTTTAAAAATCCATTTATTTATTGAGATAGGAAAATATTTTACAGTTTCAGTTTATTTATTTTTGAAAATTACTAAATGAATACTCAGTATTCAAAGCAACATAGACTTACTATAGCTTTTTGCTTTTAGTTCGTGAAGTGACTGAGCCTCTGAATTTGAATCCAGCTAAACGACCTCGTCGACAAGACTGGGATGGAGAATTATATGAAAATGGCTCATTTTATTTTGCTAAAAGACATTTGATAGAGATGGGTTATTTACAGGTTTGTGCCTTCATTTTGCAAAAATCTTTTAAACCTTTTTATATGTATAGCTCAGTTCTAAGGAAGACATGGTATAGTTCATAAAGGAAAGTATCAGTTTCTAGAAGAAAGGCAGTAACTGATAAGATTTATCATCTGAGGCACTTATCCTGTAGGCTTACAATAAACTAATCTTTGGAATCCATTCAGTGAATAAGCAAGGAATTCTGCTACAACTAGGAAATGAATCAGATATTGAATGTTGTATACATGTCCTGATTTTCATTTTATTCCATTCCAAATTCTGTTTTTAAACTATGGTTTGTTACTGTCAGGTTGTGGTTGTACAGTTGAATAAAAATCGATTGCTTTTAAAAAGAGACAAAAAAACATCGTGGATGTGGAAGATCACCAAGCTGGGTGTCAGGAAAGCCAGGATATAGTTCTCTATCTCTAACTATGTGGCTTTGAATATACATTTTATCTGTTCTGAATCTCATTGCTCTCATTTTAAAATAAGGGGGTTGGATGTCTCTCACATCTTTAGAGCCTACATGGTTACATCATAAACTACTTGTTCCTTTTAGTTAATAGCAGTTATTTATTCAGCCCTTACTATGTACCAAGGACTGTACAAAACACTTTCACATAGGTTATATCATGTCATGTGCATAGCAGTGGAATAAAGTAGACATTCCTGGTAGTGATACATGCTACAACATGGAGGAACCTTGAAAACATCGTGCTAAGTGAAAGAGTCCGTCACAAAGGACCATTTATGGCATGTTCCATTTTAATGAAATCTTCAGAATAGGGAGATCTATAAAGACAGGAAGTGGTTAGTGGTTGCCTACGGACAAGGGGAGGGGAGTGATTGCTACTGGGTATGGAGTTTATTTTGGTGAAAATTTTCTAAAATTGGATTGTGGTAATGGTCACAAAACTCTGTGAATATGCTAAAAGCCACTGGATTGCACTTTAAATGGGTAAATTTTATAATATGTGAAGTATATCTCAATAAAGCTTTAAAAAAAAAAAGTAGACATTCCTGGCCCAGTTTTATAGAGGAGGGAATGGCTGCTTTGAAAAAAGGAAGTAATTGGCTCAGGGTAGTAAGTGGTACTGTTGGGATTTGGATTCAGATCCTTATTGTTACTCAAAATCAGCATTTAAAAAAAACCCTCTACTCGCTATAGTAAAAATTCTAATGTGACTCATGCTGTGAGGTAAAAGGATTTTTAACAATCATCTGGCAGTATATCGGCAAACTGTAGACTGTTTAGTTAAGTTCGAGTATTCGGGAAAATTAGGTTTGACACACATAGATAGCGCCCTTTCCAAACTCTTTGCTAAGGGGACTGTTATTTGACGCTTTCCTAAAGTGTGGAGAGCAATGAAGTATCTCATCATAAGATTTATGAAGAGACTGACAATTCTAAAAAATGAAATTTTCCAGTAATTGATTTTGACGTTCAAATTATCACAGTCATAGGAAAGGTCTCCCCCTTTGCCCCCAGGCCCCAGGATCAGGAACTTATCCCTCCCTTTGCTCACATGTGATCCAGACAGTTATTGTCCACTCCCACCTGTAGTTCAGGGATCTAAAACAGTTCTTTTATTTTTTTCAAGATTTTCTTTCTTTATTTATTTGACAGAGAGAGACACAGCGAGAGACGGAACACAAGCAGGGGGAGCGGGAGAGGGAGAAGCAGGCTTCCCGCAGAGCAGGGAGCCCGATGTGGGGCTCGATCCCAGGACCCCGGGATCATGACCTGAGCCGAAGGCAGACGC